TGGGCAAACAAAGAAATGCCACAGAAGAACAAGAACAATATTTTCAATTTCCATTAGAGACCTCTCTGAGAATGCATATCACGTCCCAAAAATACATCATGCAAACATTTTCAAAACATCTAGAAAAATCCCAGGGATGTTCGTGCTCAAGGTTCGTGCTCGCCTGGCTGTTTACATTATTTTCATGTTGATCGTTACCTTGCTTTCCGTCATAATGATGTCTTGTCAATCAACACTTTGACTTAGGTCATGTCATTTGAGACTCAAACATTTTATGGCATTGTCTTCCATGAATTTATTTTTCATGATCCATGTTTCTAGTCCGCTAGGGTTGGATTTATCACTTGTTTGGCGTTTCGTTCCATCAATTTAATTGATATTTGATTCGATAGTGGCGCTTTCTTTGGAATTAATGGTTTTGTGAGGTGAACATTTTTGCTTTGCAATGGCTTGTCAAGCATCCCTCCTTGGACTTGACTTTTGATTATATAGTAAGTACGCGCTCTCAGGGCACGAGGCCCTTCATGCTCATGGAATCCCGTTTATTCTGAAATTTTCAAAAGGATATCATGATGATGGGCATTTGCACCAACATTCAAAAATGCTTTTTTCCCATGTGAGTCAAATTTTGTTTTTTTTTTCATTAAAAGATGCTAAAAAACGGGTTTTCTGATTTATCTGGGTGAATATCCATTTTAGACAAATATACCTATATACAAAATAGAAGATTATATAATTCTACACGAGGAAGTCCAACACTATTTTATTGTTCAAGTAATATTTCTCAATATAAACGCCGTTAGAATTTTAGAAAAAAATTTTAACATAAAAAGATGATATCGAATTCTATTTTGGGAATTTTAATGAACTGAAAGGATATTATGCATGATTTCAGATGTTTCCATACGTATACATTGATGTCGGAAAGTTTACTCTACCACAGAGACCAAGGTGATCCTGTGGACTGGATATGGGTATTGGGAGACAACCTGCTCTGGCCGAAGACGACAATCCAACTGCCAGAACCTGAATCATGCATAATATCCTTCCAGTCCATTCAAATCCTGCTACTTTTTTTATATTCCGAACCTATATATTTCATGAAAATCAGCGAAATATATTTGTTCAAATTATAACGGCGTTTATCATGGAGAATATTGTTCGAAGAAAAAAATGGTTCGTGAATTTTTCATGTAAAATTATCTCGTCCTTCATTCCGTATATAGGAATATTTGTCGTTAAATCGACATTCAAAAAAAAACATCAGAAAAACCGTTCTTTAGCATCTTTATAGAGCCTGTGATAGAGCGTTCCCAAATATATGTTCAGGACACCAATATATACCCGAAAACATACTGAAACCTCTTGTATAAATCATTTCGTATCACCATCCTGATTTCAGTGGACTATATAGAAGGTTTCGTTACTTCAACAAAGTATTCGGTAAGTATAAATATTGTTTCATGAATATTTTCTCTCCGTGTGGACGCTCATGAAATATAACTGCGTTGCTGGGAAATATTTCAACTATGAAATCGTGAGCCCAAAATATGATGATCTAACCCAAATCAGCTTGAAAAAATGTGCCTTCTGTCTATGTCAAAGGGTGTTTTCTTTGAAAATGGGAAGATTATTCCATTATTGTCGTATTTGACGTTAAAAAGTGTAAATACTCTAATACACCATACACACTATCGAATTATGTAAAATGAACGTTTCTGGCTACCAATATCAGAGGCGTAGGACATGGGCACCTGACTGGTTGATCCATCCCACATTCTACGCCACTGGCGGAATTGCCATTTTATCACGATTTTTCGGTTATCCGATACTTCCTATACGATCATCATTTTCCTTCTCCATAGCGATGCGGTCATCATTTCTCAAGTTATTTGAAGTTAAACATAAAGCTGCAGAATTATTTGTTTTTTTATGAGTATCAATAATTATGTGTCGATGTTTTGGATCATTGGATTGCATTCATTACGTGAATAAAACCTCAATCCATATTAACAAAACAATCATAATAACCATAAGTAGTTTCAAATATTGAATAAATAATAAAACACCCTGTAACATTCAGATAATACATTTTATCTCGGTGATTTGGGTAATATTCATGTTTTGAGCTATGGATTTTATAGTTGAAATGATTCTAATTATTAATGAATGAATGTATGAATATTACAAATAAAAATTACTCACAATATGTTTTCAGCACAGTTCAGAATGATTATGAGGCTTACATTAACATTTTTTAAGAAAAATATTGAGTGTGATTTCTGCGATAAGTATTTTGTAGCTCCACCTGGATTGAAGAAAATTTTGAGAGATCAGGTGAAGAATTTTCCTAGGGCAACTAGGCTGTACTTGTGGGCAGAGGAAAAGAGACACTTGAAGTGAGTGTTGGGAAGATTCTATAAAAGCTCAGCTTCATGTGAGTAGGCGTCAAGTGAAAGGGCGTGAATGAAATATAATTAATTATTTTTCATAAGGGCATGACTTTTCCTCTCGCTTTTCCTTAAATAATCATTTGTCGACTTTTTTTATCGCCCAGAGTAGGTACACGATACTCGCCTATAATATGCTTACCTCGATGCTTACCATTGTTTTTCTTCAAATCACTTTTTATTCATTTGTATATTGTAACATAGTGTAATGTAATGTGATAACAATATCCAGAAAGATTCATTTCATTACACGGTAGCAGCATCACCCACCTTTGACCTTGTAGATTGATAATCATTTGTTCAAAATTCCACGCTGTTTGTAGAGCTTAAAAAGTCATTAATGTCTGTTATTTTCCTATATCTATTTGAATATTGCCACAAAAAAATAATATTGCAAACGGCAAATTTCAGAATTTCAAAATTTTGTGGACGGCATATTGTTAGGCTCATTCAACCATCTCCGTATCACTTAGGGTTTCCTAGATCCCTATGAAATAAATACATTTTTTTCTTGGTCACACTGTTTATATTTTTTTATCTATTGAAGTGCAAGGGAATCTCATCATTTTTCGAAGAACATAGTGCGTACCTAGGCCGGATACAGGAAGAGGAGGTAGGGATTGGATTCTTCTTCAACTTTTGGAGTTTAGAAGTACTTGGAAATACTTCCGTTGGCAAAGTTATCCAAAGCTTTGCAGCTCTATAGACGAACAAGTTTTCGTAGAGTGTTGTTCGACACGTTTCGAGGTTGAGAACAAAGGATGTCCAAACTGAGCTGGTCGAGTTCGTCTAACCTAACGTAACCGTACTGGTTCTATCATCAAACTGTTGAATTTTTGAATTATTGGTTTTAGAGATGATGTTGAATCATCTAGGTATATAAAGAGGAATATCCTCATTAAATTGTAGTGATTCCATGATGAATGATGTCTCTTATTTAGTGTTTTCAAGGTGTAATACTCGTTTCGTTGGAACACTTTTTCAAATTTTCAGCTCTATTCTCTCCAAAATCTCGAGTCATTGAAGAAAAGTCGTATCGAATTCCAAAATTTAGCGCGCTAAACATTATCATGAGATAACATGAGGGTCCAAAATGACATTATGAAAGTTATATTGATTATTCGATTCAAAAGAATATATTGATTATTGTGTTGACCTACCTCTCACGGACATTCTATTATTCACTGATAGACAAAGGATTTTCTGCTTTTTTGTCAGAAATATTATTCCGTCTCTCCATTACGAAGTGGATTGTGATAATATTTCCACCGAAACATCAACAAACCACTAGTATATCGAACAAAACACCCTGTATTTATATGTACTAGATAACCACTTGGAGAATATAATATGTTTATATAAGAAATATTATTCATTTCGAGATGAATACCTCTTTATATAATGTCCGTACTTCATTTCAATGTCGAAGATTACATAAAATATCAAAGAGTTTCTAATGATCATTTATTTATTGTACAATAAGTACCCAAAACTGATTTCCATGACCGGCAATTTGGTGAATAACTATAGGTATATAATATTGCTTGGTTTTTTGAAGTTCGATATTATAACAATAAGTGTTTTCTGACGAGAATGTCGATCAAAAAAATGCAATGTTTCATAGATATAAGAGTATATTTTGAGCTCAAGAAGAAGAAGTTCCATTCAAATCCTCGTCATATACGAAATAAAGGCAATCACATGATGATTTTCAATGATTTGAGCACACATTTTCTGCAAACAGTACAACCGTTATCATTAATTAATTACAGCTTGGTGTTTACTTTTTTCCATTGTCAAAACATGCCAAATTAAATAGTGAATCTGAAATTTAGACTCCTATTCTGATTATAAAATATTCGGAGGTGCTAAAAATGTCCTATTCACCACCAGACTTCACATTCATTACGTAATAAGAAATATATGATTTATGATAAAACCGATGGAACTGAATGTATGAACCGCAAACATTTTCCAAAATGAACAAATAATTGCTCATTGAAATCGAGTATTATAAAATTACAAGCTCTAGAAAAGCTATATTGATTATGATCATGAGTTCGCATTTGAACATTCATATTACAGACACCTAGAGCAACAACTTTTCAAAACTATTCCAGACCATTCCAGACCAATCTCCGGAAGCCTTATTGTGATGCAAGTTGAAGGTCTTATCATGCGCTTCAATTGAGCGTCCATGAAATTTGAAAGTCATTTTGACATCAATGGTTTCATCCAGAATTGATGGTAGTTTCTCATCATCTTCAGCTTAGAAACCCACGCATCAAATCAGGAAGAACAATACATAACAAGGAATAAATATTTGTGACATGTATATAGACTTTGTTGAGATACAATCGGAAATGATTAATTAACAATAATTCAGTTGAAACCTCTGTTGAAACAATCTTGTTTACAAATTTTATAGAAGTTTCCACCTATGATATCTTTCTGAAATAATATTTTAATATCTGCTCATCATTCTGGTCATCCTGCATTTAATTCCCGAATCAATTTCAGAAAATATTATAATAATTATATACAGTTTTCCTAATTGCCGAATTGAGTTAAACCAATATTCAAACCATTAATATCACGTTTACTATAGTCATTATTGTTCATTAGTAATTCTTCCTCATCAGATAATATCACAGTTTTCGAATTGAATACTCTTTCTTTCACTTTCTCCAAACCCTCACCAGCATACGACAATAGTGGCGATATCTCAACTTCATCACAATCGACTCTTCCGCCAGCATCAATGATATAGCTCTTATGCAACCTCAACAAATCTCTCCTGCTGGTGCTGGCACAATCCACACCTGCGCTGTCAGCGTTTTTCAAAGCACTGAACTCACTACTCCTTGGTACTTCCCACGTCACGAAGTTATCAGTGAACTGAAACACATCGAACACGAACTTTTCAATTTTGATACCATTCGGCGTGATTGGTATTATTTTCTCACCCTTATCATTCACGTAGGGGATTTTCTTTTTAGCGACGTGCAGCTTCAACTGTGTTTCATATTCTTCAGCTATCTGGTCCAAGAACTCCGTGGAAAAGAAGTGGTTACAGATGTTTCCTGCACTGAATACCAAGTTTCCTTTCACATCTCTCAGGTTTGCTGTTTTATCAGTAATCTCACTATACTCAACAACTTGGAAACTCCCATCCACCTGACAGACGACCCCGACTGCTTCTGATGGTCCAGATTTTCTCACCACCTTGGCACCACAGTGTGCTTTTTTGCTCACACAATAACCGATGAAAACTGGATCAGCCACTTTAACTAAGATATTATCGACACTATGAACGTGTACATACTTGATGCCTCGCTTCTTCATATCTGCCAGTATGCCATTATCTCTTAGTGCCCTGTAGATACCACCATTGCCATCTGGAGCTAAGGCCACTGAATGTTTTTCGTCCAACAAAATTTTTCCTTCGAAATCGAAACATGGCAAGAGTCCCTGTTGAAATAGTTTCACATCATCTTCGTTCAGGCCAAAGTAATCGTTTTTCTTCAAGTAGTTCACTGTAGTTATATGTGTTGGTCCACTTGTCATTATGTACCAACAGATCTTCCCGCTCTTACTAGTTTGCTGTTTTGCTAGTTTAGTGAGTTTTTGTATCCTCTCAGCTTGCACTTGGAATAAGGTTTTGCCAGATGGTAACCCAACGGAGAACATACCTTTGGGGTAATTGACTCCAAGCCTGGTGCCTTGTCCTCCTGCCATAAGGACAACTGCTACTTGGTTGTTGGAGATTGCTTCTAAACCAATTCTTCGATATTCATCTATCACATCCGAGTTCAAGCTTTCTTCTGACTCGAACTTATCAGCTGGTATTGGTTTCATTTTGCTGTCCAGCTTCGTGACTTCTCCTTTCAATGAAGCTTGGGCATCTTTGTACAGCTTGTTGATTTCTTCGAACCTTATAGTACCCAATTGCTTCAGAAGCTGTTCTCTTTCCACATCGCCCAGATCGTTGTAGAACTTCAATAGATGGGACTGCTCGCAACCTTCCAGGAGTTTTTCTATCTTGGTTAGGGAGCACATGTTCTTCCGTTGCCTACATTCACTGGACACTTTCTATTTCTGCAGAGAACTACGAGTGGTCGACTGTCTCACGATTGTTCACCTTGCTTGTGCCACGGTCGAGGAACCTTTCTAATCTCGAGAATGTCAATGGGATACCGACTTGCGCATAGGTATGAGGTATAAGGTGGTACTTTTACTCTATTAGCGTAACTTAGTCGGCGCGCTCAGTTTTAATTCGGCATACCGCGAGGTAGATCGTTGAACCCGAAGAATTGGGTTGTTGATGGTCACGGATGGATACTGACAGACTAAAGGATATATGAATACGAACGTTTCGAGTTTTGCTAAATATATATGTTTTCTATCTGATGCCATTAAGATTTTTATCATTAGTGATAAGACCAATTTTTATTTAAACTCACCTTGATCATCATTGCATCGTTAGTCATCGATGTATTTTCATGAATCGAAAAAATCCCAAATTGAATATTTCTGAATCAGTGAAACTCTAATGGTACCCATTGAAACTTCTGGAATATTTTCATTAACATTATTTCACATATCCACTTATCTGGAACTATCAGCATGAAATATGAAACGTGTGAAACTACTCGAATATGTTGTTGAAAAATGAATAGCTAATGAAAAAACTGAGAATTCACATTCTTCAGCTGATAAAAATATCAATTCTCTCATGGAATATTCAATAGACAACAACAATTTTCCTGGCTATATTCTACGACAAACATTATTGATTTATATCTATTGAACACGCACAATATGAATTTGAGAGTAAAATCTTCTGAAGTTGAGAATTTGCATTCTCCTCCAGATGCCGAAATATATGTTTAATATTATATATAACTCGGAATATCCAACAGAAAACAACTACTTGCCTCGCTATTTACCTCGTAGAACATTATTGAATTACATCAAATTCACAAGATGAGAATGCGAATTCTCAATTTCAGAAAATAAATATTAAGTCTCAAATTCTTATTGTGTGTTCAATGTCCGTCATGGCATATAGTCAGCAAAGTAGTTGTTTTTTCTAGAATACCCAGGAAGGATTCATATTATTGTCAGATAGGGTATATGCGAATTCTCAATGTATTTCTTCAGATGGCGTTTGACAGACTTGATCATGGGCTACTACTATCGGATTTATACCGGTACGGACTATCACTGGCACTTTTCCAACTTTTAGCATCATATTTTACTAACAAGAAACGATATGTGATATTCAATGGTTTCAAATCTATCGAATATCCAGCTACCTCGGGTGTCCCACAAGGCAGCAACTTAAGGCCACTTCTTTTCAACGCATTCATCAATGATATAATCGATGTAATCAATGTCATTTGTTTATTGTTTGCAGACGATTCAAAGATAAATTCTGGAATGAATTGAATCAAGGAATATAAGTGACTCTCTCTCAATTCAAAAAGCGTTGAACAATGTGCTCTCGTAACAATCTATCATTGAATGCTAGAAAATGTAAAGTAATGACATATTCACAAAATAATCAGCTCCTTCCATTTCAATATGACATGAATGATAAAAATATTGAAGCTACTTTGTCGGCCGCAAAGAGGATGTACGGATTTATAGCGCGAATCTGCAAAGATTTTTCTGATCCAGTCACATCAAAAACGCTATATTTTGCCTTCGATGAATCGAATCAATTTTCAACATAAAAGTGAAACATTTTTGTGTAGAAAATATTGGCCGTTCAAATGGGTTTCTCAGAACTGTACGTTTTCCAGTGGCGTAGAAAATGGAGAGGAAAACACTTACTACCCCTTCAAAATCTTCACCAATAATTATGACCTGAAAGAAATATGATTTCACACAACACATATCTCATTATATGAGTAGAAAATGCTTATGAAAACAGTTCTTTGTGCGCTAAACGGTTCCAGAAATATTCGCAAGTTTTTTTTTCAAATTTCCACATCCTGTATATCTCGAAAATGTTAGAGGGTAAGTTATTGAAAACATCTTTCCATATTCTTGATATGGAGCTATCACATCCTGAAGTCCTGCGCATATATTATAACACCACTGTGTGTATATATCTATGCTCAGTATATTACCATTACTCTCTCATGGGAAAAAAAATGTCTCATTCAACACAAGAGCTGCTCCACCAAAATTCGGATTCTTGTTGCTTGCGAAAATCTACTTTTCACCTCAACTGCTCCTCATGATCTACAAAGCACGGCCAGTTTCAGAATACAGTTCTGATGTATTGGGTTCAGCATCCGAACATAAACTGATGCTCCTCGATTGCATCCAGAGAAGAGACATCGTGGGTGATGCCACACTCACTAACTCCTCGACCTCATTAGAATATCGTAGAAAATTCGATGACCTTTCACTTTTCTAAAGATACATCAACGGGAAATGTTCCACAGAAAGCTCTGCTATCCATCACTAGCAATACCAGTCAGACGACTTCGGCAGGTCCAGTCAGCACATTATTTCGTTGTCAACCTTGAGACATATCGAACAACACCCTATCGAAACTCATTCGTCGGTGAAGCTTTGGAATTCTTTGCCAATGGGAGTATTCCAAGAACTTGTAATCTCCGAAAGGTCAGAAACTCTAACACCTACCTCCTCTCCCTATCCTCCTAAGGTACACATGATATTTCCCGATCATTATAGGAATTTTCGTGCGTTCCAAGAGATGAAAAACCAAAATTCATGTTTTCTTGTTCATATAATATATCTGAGAATATTCCTCTTCATTACTTTCATACCCTATCAAAGTTGTCTGCTAATCACAGACTTGTGATTATGGGTTTTCTCAATTCATAATTTTCTTTCCACGCCCTGTATGATGATCATCAATCGATCTTACAAATAAACAAAATGATTAGCTCACTTATCAAATAAAAATCAAGTGATCCATATCCTGTCGAAGATGATTTTAATATAATACAACTTAATCTCAATCCGATTTTTGAAATAGATGTACCCCTGCGATTATGATTCGCGGAACTTATAACAACGTATAGAATCGAAAGTGAAAGGTACAAAGTTTCATATCGATAACGCAGTTGAACAGTTATTCATACAGAGTGATTCTTCACTGCACATTTCCATTGTAGAGTTGTATAATATGAAGTGGAATGAAATATTCATAAAGAGGGTGTTTCCTAGTGGATATTTCAAATAATAGAAAAATCTGTCGACCTTTATAACCATCAAGATGAAAGGGATTTGATTTATGACTTTGAAACCACTTGTAAAATTATACTTTTTTATTTGTCACACATACTCTCCAAAACCTTCCTTCATTGAGACGTCAACCTAATGGATGCTCAGATAGCGCACAATCGCCTGAGTTCATTATCAATGTGTGGCCAAACGCCACAGGAGAGGACGTTTTATTTCCTACAGCTTAAGAACATTATCAGGCGTCGATTAACCGCCCTAGCTGTTCTAGATCAGTTCTTTCAGTGACAGCCTGAGGATGTGGACGATTTTGTGCCTATGGATGTCTTCGGAAGACATTCCATGAAATAACGTGTCATCAAGCCAAGAGGAAGAAGAAGAAGAACTATAATTGAGGTTATGAAGAAAATCCTCATGGATTCGAAAGGTTTTAACATGTACTTTCATCATGCATTCATCAAATTAGAAGATAACAATAACAAGCCTCTCAACATGTTGCTGATGACATTCCTCTCAGATATTATGAGCTTGATATCATCAGAGCACTGATGATGTTTTATTCCAAAACATTTTGACTTTATCCGAATCTTATGAAATATTGTATACAGGCTTGAAGTTTCAGTAGATTCAGCATCAGGAATTCAGGAAGTATGCCCAGGATTTATTAATCACGAATGATCAAACTTGCAACAAAATTAGAACATAAATAAGAAGGATCATAATATTAATTCTCTCTCTAATTCTTAAGCGATGGTTACTCGGAAAGAGTAACATTTCGTATAATTCTTTTTTGTTTCGATGAGTTCTTTTGTTTTTATTGTATCATGTGAAACGTTTCGCCTATGGGCATAGGCTTTTCCAGTCTTTATTTTTCATTTTCTACATAAAATTTCATGGTACTAGAGGAAATAGAGTAGATAGAATCTCGTGCTGTGTGCATTTCATAGTTTTTGTAGGACTATCACGTAACTAACGAATTCTGCCTACTGATAGTCCTACGAAAACTATAAAGTGCACAAGGTACGAGATTTTATCTACTCTATTTTTTCCAGTACCATCAGTAAATTTTATGTAGAAAATAGAAAATGAAGACTGAAAAAGCCTATGGCCACAGGCGAAACGTTTCACATAATACAATAAAAACATAATTATTTTCTGAATCAAAAACCCAAGAACTGTCCCTTCCCAAAATTTTTTGTATAAATAAATATGTATATCAAATATTATTATAGCAATAATAATTCGGTTTGATTAGTGATCACCTCATACAGGCTGTATCTAAATAACACCGAAAAAATTCAAAGGGTGCGTTTGTTTCCTTGTGACATTCTAGCAAATAAAGTTCATATAAACATGTGTCCTAACTTGCTCCGTTTTTGAGATACAGGATGTCGAAGTTGAAAGTATTAATTGTTTTCATTTATAACTCCCCTGAATGTGCTTTCATTGTGCGAAGATTCAATATGGATGGAGACTGAGGAAGCCCCATGATTTCAAAATGATTCTGATTGGGGTTATTGAGTAATCTCAATGGAAGTCTTGAAAACACCTACATTAAAATTTGGAGTCAAATCGATTTTTATTGTTCCCTCAAAAACCTAGCTAGATACAAAAATGACACAGAGGATAAGAGAGTTGTTATTTCAATATAGTTCAATCTAATAAAAATATAAAACTCAGAAAAACCGGTGGCGTACAATGACATTCACCATGAATATCGATAAAGTTACCCGCACTGTGACGCCACTGGAAATATTATTCCGAATCTAATTGCGCCAGAAGAAGCTTCATATTACTATCAACAAAACCACAACGTTTCCTTGAAATTGGTGGAT